TAACTTTCTGGTTTCGTTACAGTGAGAAAACATGGCTGCCTCATGGCATAACAGATATGAGAGTCCCAAACCCATTAAGGAATAAGCAGATTCATACACCGCCTGTTCAAACAGACGGTTTACAGATTCCAATGTCATCAAATCCGAGAAATCACGAGACGCTTTCCTTGTCATCCACCCAAAGAAAGAATGAAAAAATAAAGATGGCTTCCCACTATTTTAAATATCGTCCTACCAACAAACTGTACAGTTTAACGTATGGTTGTCCTGGTTGTATAAATCCATGTAAGACGTTTAATGTTTCACAGGAAATGTCATGTAGAGGTAAAGATTGTTTAAATGATTGCAGCAGCCCAATCTTCAACCATCAGGTATCATCCGATAATACTTACTTAATTGAAACCAAACTATTAGATGCCGAAAAATTAACGCTTGATGATGAGCAAATCACGGATAAAACAAGATTACCAGACATTACAAAATTTAAACTCGAACTTCTAAATGAGGTTTTTAATGTCGGAGAAATGATAGAACTAAAGATGGTTATTTACGATAGCTCTGGTCAGCTTTTAAAAAGGGGTGGCGATGACATACGTGTCTCTTTGGTCCAGAACAAGAAGCGAATAGCAGGACGCTTTACAGATTATAACAATGGAACATATTTAGTGACTGCACCTGCTTTCTGGAATGGTTCTAGTACAATTGATGTTGTTATACCGTATTATCGGGAAGAGGGGTCCACTTTATTCAGATGGTTCAGAACATTAAACTCAATATTTTACCATTATGGCTATTACTCTAAAGATAGACTTCAACAAGCTACATTATGTATGGCAGGGCCCAATATAACCGGTTATAGTCAAGTGTGTAATGTTTCTGCTCATAACGGTGGACAACCCTGGTTTTGTGGCCATCCAAAGTCTAAAGATCTTAGCTGTAAAGATTTCTCAGGAACCGGGGACTACAGATTTACTGACATAGGAGTAACTGATTCAGAAATGAAATTATTTCGAAGGTATGTACATCTTGACATTTTACAGAATGTGAAGTTCTGGGGATAAAATAAGCCACCAATTGTGGCATCGTCATTATAAAGACCAGGCCCCGTGAGAGCGTAACTCTGAGACACTTGTCCAGGGGCCAGGACCATAGAGGAGTCCGGGGTATACCGAGTAATTTTTTAAATTAATAAATAAAATATACACTGTTATTTGATCATAAAGCAGAAGAAACCCGATGACTTTTCTGAATGTGCAGGTACCCGGTGGCATGGGTATATAGGATTAGAATCGGATTGTCAGTCTACTTTGTTTGGACAATTTGGTGAATTACAAACTATAAGGCACCTGCCCGTGGTTATTTCTGTTATCCTTGTTAATTTTCTTTGTTGGTAACGGAATTAATTTTAAAAAACTTGTATTTTGTACTTTTCGGTACAATTTCTGTTTTTTCTCAGGAAGTTAATAATATCATTTTAAAAAATGTCTCCTAGTAAAATACAATTTTCTATTTTTAGAGTATGTACTCATGCTGGTCGTGTTAGACAACTGAAAGTGAATGTTAAAGGTTGGGGTTTTCTTTCTTTGCGATCAATTTAACTATACATCGTGGGCTGACTATTAACTGGTTCTATGTCCACTTTTTGTTAAATTGAGAAAAATCGGTGTGAAGTTTGGCATCTCTGTGATTTGAAATTTTATGAATTTTTACCAAATTTTCACAGTTGTTGAAGCTATCAATATATGAAGCTAGCAGAGTGTGTGGCGTTTCTTGGTGCAGTGTGATTTAATTTGGTCTAACTGAAATACGATAAATGGAGATAGGTCTTTGTGGTTTACAAAATGTAACGAATTTGTCAGAAACATGGAGATAGAACTTTGTGCCCCAAGAAGGTCTGACTCACATAGTTGTAAAAGAGGTGTTTTTCATAAATCTAATAACATGTTGATAAATATCACGACTTTTCGGGACGAAAACAACGTTTGTGGCCCCATTTCATGCCAATTTGCGAAAATTCTGAAAGAAAACGGAAGTAAAAAGGCAAAATGAGAGTCAGCGGTAGTCGGAACTAAACGCACAGCCTTTGCAGTTAAAAATAACTCATGTCGAAAACTCTCGGCGTCTGGCATTCTAATGGAAATAACATGTGTCGAGGACTTTCGACGTCCGGCACCGAAATGCAATCCATCTCCATAAACTGTGTACATTTTACATGTACATACAATACATGTTTGAACGGGAATTAACTAGTACTATCTCAAACGACCCCTTAAAACCAAATAAAAAAAAGTTTTCAACCAAAAATTAAGTCGTCTTAAGGTGCCTAACAAGATTTCATTGTCGGACAATATTCTAAGGGGCTACCGATGACTTTTCTGCCCTGTACACCCAGCCATGCTATTTTCCTTTTCGGCCATTTTGTAACTAGATCACATGGCACAGATCCAGGGATTCTATTGGTGAAAGTGGACATAGAACTTTGTGAGTGGGAATCGACTTAAAATTTAAACAAAGGCCTATGTGTTTTTTGGCAATTTAACCTAGAGGGCGCCTCTGTATTAAATCATGCTCACGGGACATAACACCTGTTGATTCACAGATTATGTTTATGCAAATATCTCACTTTTACTGAAAAGTGGACATAGAACCAGTTAATCCTCAGCCCACGACATGTATTTGTATATATCTTGATGCCACAGATCTAGATGCTACATTACCATTACACTATATTTGTATATATCTTGCTGCCGCAGATCTTGAAATTGGTCTAGATGTATATATCTTGCTGCCACAGATCTTAAAATTGGTCTAGATGTTACGTTAGCATTATACTTTATCTGCATATTTTTTTATAGTATAGACCATGAAATTGACTCAGAAAGCTACGTTAGAATTACACTATATTTGCATATGTCCACCCCACTGCCACAGATCTTTGAATTGATCTAGAAGGTTACGTTAGCGTTATATTATATTTGTTTATATCTTGCTGCCATAGATCTTTGAATTGATCTATGTTATTCATAATAACACAACTTTATGGATTTACTACTTCTTAGTTTATTACATGCAACGTTTCAATACTCTTACAGGTTGCATGTAATAAACTAAGAAGTAGTAAATCCATAAACTTGTGTTATTATGAATATTGTACCTCTACTTCTAAATGTCATTCAAGGAAAATTGATCTATGTTACGTTAGCAATATATTTGTCCCCCGCCTTTCGAAGAAAGCAGGGGACTATTAAAATGGGTTCGTCCGTCTGTCTGTCCGTCCGTCCGTCCGTCTGTCTGTCCGTCACACTTTTTGGGACACAATAACTCTCTTCCTAATTGAGCTAGAATGTTCAAACTTGGTGTATGTGTTTATTAGGTCAATGCCTTGATGGAGTTCGAAGATGAGCATTTTCCGCTTAGGGTAAGCAGAGATAAGCAATTTGATTGGTTGATGCTTTGGGACACGATAACTCTCTTCCTAATTGGGCTAGAATGTTCAAACTTGGTGTATGTGTTGATTAGGTCAATGCCTTGATGGAGTTCGAAGATGAGCATTTTCCGCTTAGGGTAAGCAGAGATAAGCAATTTGATTGGTTGATGCTTTGGGACACGATAACTTTTAATTGAGCTAGAATGTTCAAACTTGGTGTATGTGTTTATTAGGTCAATGCCTTGATGGAGTTCGAAGATGAGCATTTTCCGCTTAGGGTAAGCAGAGATAAGCAATTTGATTGGTTGATACTTTGGGGCACGATAACTCTCTTCCTAATTGAGCTAGAATGTTCAAACTTGGTGTATGTGTTGATTAGGTCAATGCCTTGATGGAGTTCGAAGATGAGCATTTTCCGCTTAGGGTAAGCAGAGATAAGCAATTTGATTGGTTGATGCTTTGGGACACGATAACTTTAGTTCTAATTAAGTTAGAGTGATAAAATTTGGTGTATAGTTTCATTACATCAATACCTTGACTAAGTTCGATAATGAGCATTTTCTGCTCAGGGTAAGCAGAGCGATAAGCAATTTGATTGGCCAAGACTTTGGAACACAATAATTCTCCTTCTAATTGAGGTAAAATGTTCAAACTTGGCGTAGGTGTTTATTAGGTCAATGCCTTGATGGAGTATGATGATGAGCATTTTCTGCTTAGGGTAAGTAGAGATAAGCAATTTGATTGGTTGATGCTTTGGGACACGATAACTTTAGTTCCAATTAAATGAAAGTGATGAAACTTGGTGTATAGTTTCATTACATCAATACCTTGACTAAGTTCGATATTGAGCATTTTGTGCTGAGGGTAAGCAGAACGATAAGCAATTTGATTGGCCGAGACTTTGGAACACAATAACTCTCCTTCTAATTGAGCTAGAATGTTCAAACTTGGAGTAGGTGTTTATGAGGTCAATGCCTTGATAGAGTGCGAAGATGAGCATTTTCTGCTTATGGTAAGTAGAGATAAGCAATTTGATAGGTTGATGCTGTGGTAAATGATAACTTTAGTTCTAATTAAGTGAGAGTGATGAAACTTGGTGTATAGTTTCATTACATCAATACCTTGCCTAAGTTCGATGATGAGAATTGTCTGCTTAGGCTAAGGAGCAATAAGCATTTTGATTGGTCAAGACTTTGGAACATAACAACTCTGCTTCTAACTTGAAGTTGATGTTCGTCTTGACCGAATTCAATGATTAACAGGCTAAGCAGAGATAAGCAATTTCCTTGGCCGATGCTTTGGGACAAGATAACTTTGATTCTATCTGATAGAGAGTGATGAAACTTAGTGTATAGTTGATAATCAGTTCGATTGCTCGATACTTTTGAAAAAAATAGATGTGCGATTAATTAATATGTATCATCTATTTATTTGGGGATTTCGGCGGGGGACATCAGCCTCACTGTTGGCTTGTTAAATTGGTGTAGCCTCAAAAAGAAATATATTATGGTGTATTATTTTATTAAAGAATACGAACACTTTTAACTTATTAAGTATTATATATAAATTTTGTATTCTTTCAGGAACGGAAAGCATACAAAAATCTAATATTCCGCTGTGTGAAGACCTTGAACCTACCCAGACCTGGGATTTATCAAGTCCGACGGGTTACTTTACAGAATCGAATTATTTACCCACTAAATGTAGAATTCTGGCGCAAACGAGAAATCAGTCTAGAAGATGTTTACAAAATACAAATCTCATTCTTACTGGTGATTCAACCACTCTTCAGTGGTATAAAGCTTTGAGAAAATTTTCCAATTGTAAACAGATAAACGCACGTTGGTTCGGCGGAAAATGGTATCAAAAAGTTACATGTGTCAATAAAGAATGGAATTTTACCTTGAAATGGGCTCCGCATGCCATGCCTTTTAGTTTCTTTGATGTTCAAAAAGCAGCAATAAATGTGACTTCTAAGCGTTCCTTATCAGACATATTAAATGATATTTCGGACAAGGGGCGTTATATATTTGTACTACATATATACGCCCATTACACTAGAGTTCGTTATCATATTTTTCGTGATAAAGTTCGAACCATGTTGCCTGCTTTAAGACAAGCTTTAAAAAGGAACAAAGAGCTTCAGGTGGTTGTTAAATCACCCCATGTATACTACTGTGTAGGGTGGGTACCGTGTGTAAATGATTTCATGGGGCGTCATCTGATTACTATACTGCACCAGGAGATGAAGGAGTTCGTAAATCAAATCAAGTATTTGGACTATTGGGATATGTCTGTATCGGCATTGAATGCTCATATGCACGCAGACGATGATTTTATTTGGAAGATGATACAATTAATGATCGACCACACATGTAAAATTTCAATTTGACATTCAAACCTACATACTTCACAGCCCACGAATTTCTAGAACGAGTGAACATACGAACGGTGGAGTTTATTTTATTTGGAAATATCTGTTTAGATTGTCGCCATGTTGGGATTTTGAATTCCAACACCTTTGTGTATCACCAAGGGGCAAGAGCGTAGTACCGTTCATATCTGGATACATCCAAGCGGAAATGTACCTCAATCATACGATTGATGATATTTATGATAAAATCAGTTGACTTATTGAAAAATAATCTAGAGATGATGGTCAGCGACTGTTGCCATTTTTTCCACTTTTTGTCCCCGATTCATCAAACCATTAAACAAACTCTATTGACACGTGTGTTCACTCCTACGGGAAAACTCGTATTAAGAGAAAGGCCCCTTTAACTTTTATCTATTGTTTATAGCATGTGTTAACTTCAATAGCTTGAAAAAAAGGTCTTTATAATTGAATATTTCCTTTAACTATGTCATTAAATATCAATGAAACCTAGTGGGATATAACCGACATTGGGTTTAAATAAAGATTCTGATCTTTATAAATTTATTTCTAATTAACAGGGCCCGTATTCAAAGGAAATCTTAAGTCTAATAGATTTCACTTATATATACACAACTGCCTGTAAGTTAAAGGTTAGCGGTATCCATCCTCGTGGGTTTTCTCCGAGTCTTCCGGTTTCCTCCCACCGCTAAAGACCCCTACGCTCAAGTGAATTATTGAAATAAAATTGAACCATATATCCCGAAATCACCTATACTATGGCCAGTATTACTTACTGCATTTGTATTAATATTGTAGAATATTTTTGCTCTTGAAATTAATTGTGGCATTATATTTCATTAATTAATATCTTTGGCAAGTTAGTAGATTCACATATATGTAGGATGTACTTAAATCAACTTAGTGATTAAGTGACAGGTTGACACATAAAAGAGTTATAAAACCAAAACATAGCTAGTTCTGTGTGTCAATAAAATACCACGAGATTACACGTGCTTGGAAATTTACTAATTGCATCATTTGGCTAAAGTAACCAATCATAATCAGTAATTGCACAGGTTCAGGTCATGAGTAGCTTATTCTGTGCGTGATATCCACGAGTCCTATAAAAAAAATCATGGTAAACTTTTAAGATAGACTTTTATTTGAGTTCCTAGACAACAGAAGGGGAAAGATGTAACAGTTTCTCTATCAGCAGACTCGCCCAGTCTGCCTGGCTAGTGTTTGAGAATGATTTTATTATTGTAATATATACTATGCTTGTATCCATGTGTAATATAAAACGTAAAAATGAACTGTTGCAATGTTATAACTACTGAGAAGACAAACGTCCTAAGGAAAACAGTAAGAAGTAAATACACAACTTGAAGCAGAAGCAAAAACAGCTAGAGACAAATTCTAGACGATCACAAGGCTACTAAGGTATGTAGTAAGAAAAGATGCATGGGTCGTACGTAGGATGTGGCGACCAGTTTTCCCGCGTCCGCTCTTCACGTCTGATAAAAGACCCATGGTGCTACACATTTTAATAGGTAGTATTTATTCAGAAGTAAAAAATTATGCCACGTGTATCTTTCGTCGTTATTTAGTACACATAATGTACAGTCAATGCCGGCAATTGAGATTCTACAATGTAGATAGGCACTGGAAGAATTTCTATGAACTTCACAAATAATAGATTGATTTACAGTAAATGGTTCAATGATTCCCTTTTAACATTAAAACACCAGTTTCAGAGTGCCGAAACCAACTGGCAAAGGTCAGGTTAAGAAGTACACCGTCAAATACAAGTGCAAACGTAACCAGTACTCATCTCAGTTAAGATCAACTAAGATAAAATATCTCCAAGATCTCATAACCAGCCCAGTAACTCTAAAACACTGTTTCAAACATTCAATAACCTTACAAAAGACTCTTCCGGAGATAAGTACCCATCATGCTCCGACAAGGATACTCTACCAGAGGTTTTCTCTGACTTTCCTAAGTAAGATAAACAAAATCCGTGATCTGTTTCCTGATGTGGCCAAACAACCTATCTCCTCACTTGACAGTGTAGATGCTTCATACCGACATGGCCTTTAAAGATATGTTTACCACATCTGCTTCAGATATTATTCACACTAATTAATTATTGCATCTCTAGCTGCCAGTTTCTGACCGCATTCAAAACGGCCAATGTCAGACCAATACGAATGAAGCTAAACCTTGATTCAGATTGTCTTAAAAATTACCGACCAGTATCAAATTTATCGTTTGTTTCTAAAGTCATCGAGAAAGTTATTGCTAAACAACTTAAAGAGCATCTAACTCATGAGAATATTTCAGAACCATTTCAGTCCGCATATCAGACAATCATAGTTGTGAAACTGCGCTAATCAGAGTGAGTAATGACTTATTGCGTGGTATGGACATATTGTTTGTTTTGCTTGGTCTATCTGCAGCATTGGACACTATTGATCATATTCTAATTCACAGATTCAAATATAGGTTAAAATTATCTGACTCTGCTATAAAACTTATTCAATCATATTTATCTAATCGTAATCAGATTGTATGTGTAGACAATGCTAAATCAAATCCAGTCCAAGTAAAATTTGATGTTCCCCAAGGATCGGTCTTGAGACCAATTCTGTTTACTATCTATACCCCCCCCCCCTTGGTAAAATCATCTGCAAACACTGTGTAGACTACCATCTGTATGCAGACGACACTCAACTCTATCTAATAGGAAAACCATGTGATATTCCAGACAAGCAACAGCAATTGGAATGCTGCATTGAGAGTATTAGAGTATTGATGACTGCAAACTTTCTTAAACTGAATTTTGACAAAACAGAGTACATGACCATTGACTCAAAATCATGTGTTTCATCATTAGATAGGCACCCCATTCGTGTTGAAAGTGATCAAATCAACCTCGTTCAATCTGCTAGAAATTTGGGTGTTATGTTTAACATCATGGATATGTCCAAACAATTGCGGTGTACGGAAATACTTAAATAGTATATACAGATTCAGCAAAACTGTTAGTGAACTCTTTGATCACATCTAGACTGGACTATTGCATTTCGTTACTTTACGGACTTCTAGCTTCCTCCCTTCGCTCATTACAAAGATGCACGTGTAATCACCAGAACAAAACTGTGCTTAAATCCCTTCACTGGTTGCCCATAAATAGGCGTATTCAATATAAAATAACCCTCCTCACTTACAAGCTCCTGAAACCTGAGTAATCTTCTAAACATCAAACGTGGAGAAAGAACAACTCGATCAACATCAAAACACGACCTTGTCGTTCCAAGAACTTTGAAAGTGTCCTGTGGTGATAGGGCTTTTTCAGTGGCAGCACTCATCCAATGGAATAAACCCCCAGCAACATTAAACGAAGCCAGAACATTAGAGTCCTTTAAATCATCCTTGAAGACTCGCCTATTTAATTGTGAACACCAAACGTGACAGTGCAGCTCAGGGCCATCGAGTAGAACTGTTCTGGATGAGATACGCTATATAAATTCATTATTATTATTTGTTCAGTCTAACTTAAGTGCCAAAACTCTTGGTGTGTTGGTAGAAAAATGTTATTTTCTATTCGATATACATTGTTAGAATAATAAAATTTTAAAATATCCGGCATTATACAGCGCAATTCAATTGAAATCTATTAAATTTGACACAGAAGCAAAACTCTCCCAAAACAACTGTTTATAAAAAGGTTGCACAATATAATTTATAGTCATACTATACCCATGTGTTACCATATATATTTCGACAAACATTTTTCCTATTAGTGACAACTAAGAATCCAATAGAGTGGCGGGGCTCTTAAGGAGGCAAAACTTGCCTTCGAAGTTGAAAATTCGCAATTTGTGGCAGTTGCGGATATTCCAGAATTATACACAGAATAAAGTCAGGTGTATAATGAGAACTACAAGCGAATGATAATAATAATGGAATGAGGTATCAACATCATTGTAGGCACACAAAGTTCCGCAGTTATCCCTCTACTACAAAATTAACGGTATTAGATTATTATTATTAATAATATTGTTCGATTTATATAGCGCTTCATTACACATGAGTGTTTCTAAGCGCATTCACAACAAAACAGTTCAAAAAGAGATCTTGAAAGATCATTCCACACTTTAGCTGCTCTGACAGAGAAAGCCTATTCACCAGAACGTTTGTTATATTTAGGAATCCTCAATATGCTACGAAAGATGGATCACCGGGGAGAATAGAAATCAAAGAGTTCTTTTAAATAACTGGGTGCAGTGACAGAATACATTGATTTAAACACATTCACAAAAGCTTTAAATTGAACCCTCGCTCGAACGGGAAGCCAATGGAGTTTCTGTAACTTAGCTGATATATGATCAAATTTTCGTGTTCTAGTTATGAGACAGGCAGCATTGTTTTGCGCTATTTGTAGTCTGTTTAAAGTTGTTTCTGATGCTCCTAATAGAAGACAATTTACATAGTCCATATGCGATGTTACTAATGCTCTAACAACACTCTGGCAAGCATCAGTATTAAGCGTATTCTCGAAATAGCTCTCATTTGAAGATGCATTTTCCGTAAGATACTATTGATTTGGGGAACTGAGGACATAAATTCATCGGTCACATAGCCAAGATTTTTAGCCTGCTTCTTGGGAGATATATAGCAATCACCGATCTGAATGGAATCCGCTTTAAACAATTTACTAGATTGTGATTTTGATGATTCGGATTTGTCATTGTTAAGTTTTAGCCTATTTCTGGTCATCCATCCTCGAATGTCTTTAAGACAAGACTCTAGTCTACTGATAGAATCATTGGAAGCAAGATAGTTGTTGTGTTGAAAGTAGTAATATATTTGGGTGTCATCAGCAAAGTTGTGGTTTTGTACCCCATGTCTTTTTATGATTTGACCAGTTGGAAGAACGTATAGAAGAAAAAGTAGAGGCCCCAATACAGATCCTTGTGGAACACCTATCCTAACAGCACATGGTTGAGACACAGACCTGTTTATTTGCACCTGTTGTGTTCTGTCTTGAAGATATGACTTTATCCATGAGAGTACAGCACCACAGATCCCAACCAAACATCCCAGCCCTTGAAATAGAATACTATATCAAAAGCAGCACTGAGATACAAAAGAAATAGGTGCACAGCTAGATTCTTATCCAGTGCCAGGTCAATATCGTTTCTTATTTTAAGTAGAGCCGTCTCTGTGCTGTGACCTCGTTTGTAAGCAGATTGAAGCGATTCGTGTAAATCATTTTCAAGCAGATAATTTGAAATTTAAGAAGCAATCACTTTCAGAAGCCAGGTTGGAATTATATGTAGCAGATTTACTCTTAGTCTTAAGTATAATCTTCTTGACCTGCTCTTCAGAAACAGTTACAAATAAATTTAGATTGCACTCTAACGACGGAAGTGGTTCCCCATCTTCCGTATCGGAGTCAACCAGACTATCTTGTCCTTTCCTAATATCAGATGCTTTAGTTTGGAAAAAAGAACAAAATCTCTCGGCAAGCCCAAGTTTATCAGTTGATGATGGAAGCCGTCGAGTTGTATCGGATGTAAGCGACAATTTTAAATAAA